GGCAAAGGATGAATCTCCCCACCCTGGGGTGGGCCGGCAGCCAGGCAGGCCTATAAATAGGGTCCCCCAGGCTGGCTACCTCTTCACTCCCTCGTCACCTGGCCAGCAGCTGCTCAAGCGCCTGCTTCCTCGGCTCTGAACCATGTCCCTGGGTCTCCTGTGGCTGGGCCTCACCCTGCTGGGTGCCCTGCAGACTCAGGCCCAGGACTCCAGCTCAAACCTGATCCCAGCTCCGCCACTGCTCAGGGTCCCTCTGCAGCCGGACTTCCAGGATGACCAGGTGAGGGCCCGTGCACGCCTGCAGAATCGGCAGGGTAGCCTTCTACAGAGGAGGAGGGGGTGGAGGCGGGCAAACCCATCCTCAGGGGTCGCTGCAGTCCTGAGTATTCCTGCAGACCAACCAGCCATCTGCCCTGCCACTCGCGCTGTGGGCAGCTCGGCTGCAGGCCCAACCCCTGCACCTGCTCCCACTCCAATTCATACCCCAGAGTCTGCACCCACACTCAGTCTGGACTCCGACCAGTGGCTCCTCGTGCCCCTCCCCTACTTGGGATGCTTCGGAGCTCCATCCTCTGCCTCCCCAGCATCTAAGTCACAGCAGACTCGATACCTTTCAAGGTCAAATAATATAGCAGGGGTGAAACCTCTGGGGCTGAGAGCAGGGTGAGGGGTGGGAGTCAGGAGGGTGGGAGGCCACTGGCGCTTCCAGAGGGGCAGGCTTTGGTGGCAACACTGTCCCCAAAGCTTTGCTCATCTTCGCTTCCTGCCCTTTCATCACCTTGATGGGCAGGCAGGGCAGGGCCTGAGGGAAAGGAGTCCAGGGGGGACCTCTGTGGCCTCAGGGAGGCCAAGGCCACACCCTCCCCACCAGCTCAGGTCTCCCTCCAAGGCTCCTTCCCTCAGGGCCCGGCCACCCCAGAGCCCAGGCTGGGAGGCCCACCCAGCAGGGAGGCAGAACCAGCAAGGGCCTGTTACTCATGTCTGAACCTCAGTCCAGCCTCAAGTCAGCTCCCAGGTGGCCCGGCCCAGTACTGAGCGTCTCTGGGGAACACTGCACAGGGCCGAGGGTCAAACACCACCTCCCAGGCCTCCAAGGAGGAAGACGCTTCCCTCAAGGGCAAGGCCAGGATCAGTCAGCTCAAGGATGATTCTGGAATCCCAGCCTGGGCCACTGGGCTCCAAAAGCTGCAGCCCGAGACGGGGACAAGGTCAACTCCTTATACTTCCCGGGACCCAAAGCAACAGGTGTCCAGAGCAGCAGGGCAGAACCACCTTCCCCATACCCCAGCCCACCTTGCCCAGGGCTGCCTGCCCACACCCCTGCAGCTCCACGATGACCTGGGACTGCAGCCTCAGCATTCGCTCCGTGGGGCAGCCATGACTGAGGGCTGTGGCCTCTCGGCGCCTCTGCCCACTGGGCTTCCAGGAGAGGCCGAGGCCTCAGGGGTCGGTGCAGTCCTGAGTATTCCTACAGATGGGATGTGAAGGACAGAGGGAGGGTTCAAATCCAGGCAGGGCGCACTCCCAGGTCAGCCGCTCAGGCATCTCACCGGCCTGGTGGGCTCCTGGGAGGGCCAGGATCTGGGCTTAGTGAGCTCAGAGCAGACGCCCTGTCCTTCTTGGCCAGCAGCTCCACTCTCGGCTGCCCCGCCCTCCCCTGACCCTCAGGAGAACCAGGAAACAGCACATGGTCTGTTGGAGCGAGGCTGTCTGTATCTTCCCAGGGCAGGGAGGGGCTCCCTGCAGTGCAGACCCAGCCCAGCCCTGCTGCCCAGTTAGAGGGGCTGGGTGGAGAGGACCCTAGGGGGGGCGGTCAGAGCATACAGACATCCAGGTCGGGGGCCACTAACTATGCATGGGGCCAATGGGGCGAAAGGAAGGGGCACAGGGAGAGCACAGAAGGCACCTTTGTCACTGCAGGAGGTGCAGAGCCCGAGAATGTCCCTACGACACGGGCCTTTCTGTTCCCCCATCTTGCACAATCCTGGCCAAGAGGGGAAAGGG